TGTTTAAAAGATAAATCAAAAGGGAACGTTTATATTGTTTCATTGAGAGTGGGGCGGAATGCAGGAGGAAAGCAATCAGGTCGTTTTCCATGCTGACATCCATTAGCTTGAAAGAGCTATCACCTACCTTCTTCCAAAACCAAGCAGGTAAGCAGTACGAGGCAGCTCCAGAGATAGGACCAGGCATAAGGAGTATCAGGCAGCTTCTAAGATAGGACAAGGCATAAGGAATACCAGGCAGTTCCATAGATGGCACCTTTTTTTTATGTTTATAGTGCTTGAGCACAGCTTGAGCTGTAGCATTTACTTGTTACTGACCATGTGTTCTTGAGGGTGCTTTTTGTGCACAGCACGCTGTTGCATCATTAAAGAAAAAAAAAGTGCAAGAACTATGTGCACCTGAACCATCTCAATTTATATCACTCACATTCACTGCACATCCTATCACCATAGATAAGTTAGACATTAACCAGTTTATCCCTAATTAAAACTCTCCTGCTACTGGCCAATTTAACATTACTGAATCCCCAACAGTATCCTAATTATTGTAATAATTGGTTCAGTAGTAAGTAACGTAGAGTGCAGGGTTAGGTAAGTAATGAGTAACACAGAGTTCAGGGGCTGGTAGTAAGTAACAAAGTTCAGGGGTTGGTTGTTTTGGCATAAGTTGCATACAGTGTGTCAGTACATGCTAGTGTGGCTGTGGCTCCTCCCTCAAACCTCCTCTGGCTCCGGTGCTCAGTGTCAGTAGTTGATGGTGGTGGCCAATAATTGGCAGGTGAGGATGGACAGACGTCCCCTACAGAGCTGCCATCGTCATTCAGTTTAGACCATCATCACCCCAGTAATGTGACATCATAGTCAGGTCTCTGAGCTCAGGAACTGCTTCTGCACCACATGACAATGGCCAAGCGCTGGGCACAAAGCCATGTTAATGGAGCCCCAGGTTTGTAAATGGGGTCAGTATGTGGCATGTTCTACTTTAAAGTTCTCAACAATATCCCCAGAAGTGATTGCAGAGCATTTCTGAGAACTTTAAAGTAGAGCATGCCAAATGATGACCCCCTACTTCAAAATTCAGAGCTTGAGGTGTTAATTTCCCAGGGAAAGACCCCTCATAACCCCCATTTAATAGGGAAAATGTCAATATACTGTATGTTGGCATGGGTATTTAAAATCTTAACCGCGGGCACATTTGATGGTGACAAATAGTCTCACCCTATAACTAGGAGTGTCTGGGCAAGGTCCTTCATGGCAGGACCATCAGGTATTCTATTAATGAAAGTTGCATATTTGAAAAGATTAACAACTTTTAAAATTACAATACCATGTTCATTGTACTTTATATACATTTTAGTATCATGCAGTTTTAACTTAGGGTATTGTTAAGTTGTGTTGCAGTTTTCAGTGTAACTATTCTAAACTCTAGTTCATTATTTTGCAATCTCAGTGGTTTCAGAGGTATTTTTCAGTTTTCATTCAGCTAATGTAAAATATGCAAGCTACAGCTGTATTTTACACTAGGGATATGGAACCATTGCCCTTTAAATCAGTTTTATGATTCATCTTACTTCCTATCACACGCCTATTACCAAGGGCCCATGTGACACCAGAAACTTTTTTGCAAAGTGTGTTTGCCAAGTTTCCGTCAAGAGCATTAACCTGTAATCTTGTTTTCAATGCAGTTCAAGCTGTTATAGAATAACATATCGATGAAGCACATTTTAATTACTGCACATCAGAAACAGAAGGAGGCTTTGTCCTTGAGTAGCATCATTATGCTATATCGATCAAATTCTTGCACAATACAGTTTTATTTCTGTACATTTTTTGTAATAAATTCATTGGAAATGGTCTTGACGGTCACTAGAATAACAAATGTGGTGATGTCACATGCCATCATTGTCTGGCAAGATAATTGCCTTAGAGAAAGTGCAGATGATGTAATTTTACATATGTCAGTTGGTCTTTTGAGTTGAACATATTTGTCATCCAAGGTCACTTTTGTGCTTTCGCTTATTATATTGAACATTTGATATTTCGTTCAGGGACAAAGTCAGTTAGTGTGAGTAACTAAGAAAATAGGTTGAACAAAAATTCTATTTTATTCTTGCCTCTAATTTTTCTTGCCACTAAATTCTGCTAAAGCCTATGTGTGCATGAACACATAGGATAACATGCAGGGGAGTTTAGAGGCAGGAAAAAAAAGCCTGATGCCCCTAGGAGTAGCAGTAAAAACATCCAGTGTGCATGAGACCTAAGATGGAAGATTTAGGCCATTTTGGGCACATCATAATGATGAAATTTGTATAGCTTTTGTAATTTCCTGGAAATCTTTGTGGAGCATAATAAATCTTTTTTTTTTTTCAAAAAGTTAAGAGCATGTCACTGCTTTAGTCTGTCAAGCAATCATACTAGAAGCAGTGTGGGTCATGGCATTAGAAGTAAGGGAGGTTTCACACTGCTGCTGTGGTTTGGCCACATTGCAGGTGTACTCCTGGGTTTCGTGCGGTTAACCCACAGATTCCTGAAGTTTCCTGAATATTTATTTCTATTTTAGAAAACACACCAAAAAAATGCAATCTAATAAAAAGTCTATGGCATACCGTGAGTACACCTGTGCTGCGGCCAAACCAAAGCACATCAGTGCGAAACCGGCCTAACAGGTAGATGTCTGCCTGCCCATCATTCACATTTTCCTATCTATGACTAGCCTTAGGTCTAAGTAGATCTTGTCCATCCTGTGTCATTGGTCAAGTTTATTATGCACATTCAGCATTTCTTCATTCAACCAGCAGGCTGAACAAAAATAAACTGACAGATTGCTGTACTCACACAAGTGATGTTAGTGTAGCGATCACCCATGCTGTGCTATCAGGACTGCCCTCCCCCCCACCAGAACACACTGTTTAAAGCTGGAAGCCATCGGATGGTTTTACACCATGCCGTTTGACAGAAGCTGGTCGTGAGACAGAGAGCTGTACTTGTGGGCCAAAAGTCAGTCGATTCCTGCCAAACCAACCATTTTCAGTTAATTTTCGCCCCGTGTGCACCCATATTTAGAGATCCACAGAGATATGACAGAATGCTGAAAGCTACGCACTGCCTAGGAAGTCATACTTCTTCAATGTGGCCAGTCGTATCACAAATATCATAACTGCTTATGTGCTTGGAAGGCTATGAAAAAAAAAAAACACACACCATCCCTTTAGATGAGTATGCAAGTGTGCTTTTAGTTTAAAAAAAGAAAAAAAAAAGTACACAAAAGGTTTAGTTTTAAATGTATCACATAACACAGACCTTTCTCACCCAAAATCTACCATAATGATTACTGACTGCTTATCGTACCTCCCAACCTTACAAATGGCCCAGAGGGATGGTCAGTATGCCAGATTACATACAGTATGTGTTGTGTAACAGACAACTGCTTCTTCTCCATAAAGTAACCTTGGGCTTATGTAGTAAAAAAGAGTTTGAATGACAGGAGGAAATGACAAAAGAAGAAAAAAAATCATTCAGACACATGGAAGATAACAGTACACATAAAGACACTATCTTGTTTCGTATAAAAGCTGTGATATTCTTTTTTATTACATATTAATGCCAAAGTTTAGTTAAAAATAAATCACAAGGGACATTACTTACAATCAATGCTAAGTGTCTCCTGTGCTGCTGACTGCTACTTTCGGTATAATCTTCTGCCCCTACAACCCCCACCTTCGCCAGCCTGAAAAGAACATTTTTCATTCATCCGCCTGTCCTCCATTCATGGTCATTTTTCATTCATAGAGTCTATAGTATAGCTTCTATAAATGGAGGAGGTGGGCGGAAAGGGAGGGCATTGTTGACACTCTTGATAAGCACATATGCCAGGTCTCTCAGCTCTACTAAGCCCCAGTGCACTGGAAGGTGGCAGATGTAGTGGTGGTTTATTAGGTTTGAATAGAGTGTCCCTTTTTGCAGTCTGTGTCTCATTGGGGCAAACTTTCACTTTCTGCCCTGAAAACACAACAGGAAGAGAATGGAACTCTCCTCTTTTTTGCCACCTAAACAAGTGTCCCCAAAAATTCCTTCTAATGCTTTTGCAGTAAAATTTTGGATTTCCCATCAATATCAGTCCTAGTGGCAGCAGTCATTATGACACAGATAGAGGGTCAATCTCCCCAGTGGGGACACAGACAGCTATGAACATCTAACAGAATTTATAAGCTCTCGCTGTGATAATTGTGCGCACAGAGATGGACAATGACAACCATAATTTGGATCATACTCTGCAAATGTCCATTCTCACTCCAAATCAGTCTTCCCCCTCCTTTTTTTTGAATGGCATGTGGTCTGTGTGTGTGCTGAGTTCAGGAGTGCACGGGGTACAGCTGGATATGCTTCATGGTTGTAAACCCAATTAGGTGGTTCCAGGATGTCTGTCAGGCTCTTGCCTTGGCCTGGTTGTAAAGCTATAAACCAGTCAGTCACTGGACATGAAAGCATTCCAGAGGGGCAGTAAAACATACATCCCACTTGAAACCACTTTTTCATACAATTTCATAAATCCCGGCAGGAACAAGGTACAATAAAACAAAGCATATATTCAGACAGGTCAGTTTAATGCGAGTCACCTGATACCTTACACCCCTAGATAACATCTACCAGAGAGTAGAAAGCGATATCTCTTTTTAACCGCCACAGCAGATATGTCATTTTTGATGTCTGGACGTTCAGAATATCATTCTGCATATTAACCTGCCAGTGGCTAGGCTGCTGCATGCACCTATGGAAGGTTATTGACCATGGTATAAACTTGGGAGGGATTTGGGTCACAGCCTGGTCCTCCGCCTAAACACCCCTCCCCAAATGAGGCGATTGGTTCTCTGCTTTAAGGAGACACCCTGCTGGGTTCCTAGAAAACAGGCTGTCATGCCTGGAGAGAGAAGATGAAGAGATTCTTCCTTTTTAACATCAGGAACCAACAGGTACCCTTTTGTTCAGGACACTTGAACTCTGCGTAGCCTCCCTGGCGGTATTCCCGAGTGTAGCTCGGGGTAAAGTTTCAGTACCACAAGCGGTAACCCCGAGCTATACTTGGGCTTACCATGCGGCACTGCTCCGGGATCTGTTCTTCTCTTACCTTGTCCTGCGCTCCCACAATGTCCCTCCTGCAGTGTCCCCTGTAATGTCCTCCAGCGGATGCTTTCATCTGTCTTCTGGGTTCCGTCCCCTGCGACGTTGGGATGTACGGGGACGGAACAGCGGGAAATTTGAAAATGACAAAAAGTGACATTCACTAAATTCACTAAAATAACATAGTAAAAAATTACTGTATCAAACCATTTCACATACATTTTGTCCCTAGTGCTTTGTCCTGTGCCCTGCCTGCATTTTTACTGTGCTGTCTGTGTGGAAACTGAGAAACGTCCATGGCGTCCAAAAAGCGTCCCTTTAGATCAAAAATGGTTTTAGACCAGCTAGAGAACAGCGATAGTAAATTAGAACTACTTGCAGAAATGAATGATAATGAGTCATGTGGAAATTCATCATCAGACACTGAAAACGATTTTGCAACTTTGCTCAGTGATGTGCGAACTTGATGCTATATTTCAAATTTCAGTGTTTTCGGTTTCATTATATTATTGAAATAAATTTATTATTATTATATTTTTTTTTATGGTTATTTATTAAATTATAATTTATGATTTCGTGTTTCAAATTTTAACATATCCGGGATGTTTACTAGACTCTTGTTCGGACAGATTTCAGTAAGTTATTCCAAATAATTACAGGCCTACAATAAAAAAAATACATATTTCCATGCAAAAAAATGTACCGCTTTGAGCACAGAAATATGGACATAATCAGACCGCTAGGGAGGTTAAACCAGGACTTCTGGAAGTATTCTACCTTCTTAAACTTCTTTCTTTTATCTCTCTGATGTGTTATAGCTCTTTCTATTTATATATATATATTGGTTACATCTTTTCTGTAAATATTTTTATTGCACCATTTTGACCTTTTTAGTAATAAATTCTATTTTCTGAAAACTGTTGAACTGTTTCTAAAGCTCTTTAATGCAAACTAAGAATCCCTGTCTCTGATGAGTGCTACTGTGTGTTTTAAAACCCCTGGATCCATCTGCCTGCAGTGACAGTGTGTATACAGACGCTTATTCAAACATCATAGGTGGTGGTGGCAGTGTGAAGGGTTAATTGCGTAATTAACCTGACCCAGTAACAATTGCTCTCAGGCTGTTGACATCTAGATTGGGGTGCAGTGAGCTGGAAAATCTTAGTGCAGAGTGTAGCTGAGAGTGGCATTGTTAAGCAAGTGGCAGTGCGGTTTTAGATTGGCTAGTCCTTCGGTCACAAGTTGGTGAGAAGGACTGGGGTCTGACGTCACGCCCATCACACTCGCTACTCTGTCCAAAAGTTTTAAAAATTTTGCATTAGCTTTACTTTAAAAGAGAAATGTGAACTCCCCCCCCCCCAATTGTATACTTACCTAGGCGAATGCAGCATCGGTCCAATGCTGCATCTGTCCCCTGCCGGCTCTAAATGTGAGAAATCGACCGCTGATTGCTGAGTTGTCTGCTCTAACCCCCCAGAGCTCACAGTCACTGACAGTCACCACTCTCTGCTCTGCCCCCCAAGAGCTCACTGGAACACTGGGCTGTGGAGAGGGAGGGAGCAGCTGGCTCAGGCTCTCAGCATCTCACTGAGAGGCTGAGCCAGGTGCCACTCCAGACTCTGGGGTGGATCCCAACTTTGCAGCCGGGATCTTTCCCCAGCCTGGACCAGCTGTGTGAAGTCAGCCGACAGCAGGCTTCAGCTCGCTGTCAGCTGAAAATGGGTCATGGGAGTGCAGAACGAACTGCATTCCTGTGATCCACAGGAGAAATACAGCCAGAGCAGCTTTGGCTGTACTTCTCCTTTAACTTTCTCTGGAACTCATGTATTCAATGTTAGAGACATACGTGTTACTGGATAATTTACATTGTATTTTTGTGCTGTCTAAAGATAGCTGAATATCATGTCAATTTATGATATGTGGACTTACATAGTTTGTTACTCCTCTGCTCAAAATAACAACTCAGTGCTAGTGCAAATCATGTTGGACAAGTAATGTAATTGCAGTTATCTTGATTCTATACCATTCTCTCTGCATGCTGTAAGATGCTCTAAACATAGAAACTCACTTCCTGAGCAGTTGCCTTTAAGTATTTCAACAGTTTGGCAGATGGCTGTTTTAAGAGTTATATATGTGAGACAACAAAAATACTTGGAAAGGAATTCTCATGGATGCTGTACATGCTACAGACTGGGTTGGCTTGAAATTGTGTTTCTTTTTAAATTGTAACTAGATCAGTATTAAAGAATACCTCCAGACAGAACACCACCTCTAGTGTTAGCTCAGGTGACAGCTGTTGTTTTTTTCTGTCAACTTCCTGCTTCTGCATGTTTCCAGAGTCTTCAGGGGTCAGCTACTGTAGTTTTGTATACATATAAAGCAAATTTATCATTCTAATTGTATAATTCTAAATAAAATACTTCTAAGGGTTTGCACAAATGAAGGAGCATCCCCCAAAATACTGAATAGAAGAACAACACCAGAATTTTATTTCATGCAAACCATTTGTATCTACTGTAGATATGTGAAAAAAATGTACACACCTGTGCTTTTCCTGAAGACGGCGACTGGTTGGATGAAACGCATTGGGTGGGGTTTCCAGTGGCATCACTTCCTGCCCATGAAGTGCATGGCGAGTCAGCACTTCCAGGTCTACATGCAGTCTTTAATTTCATTTATTAATACATTTATACTATACTATGGCGGCTTCCCCTCTTGTCCCCCTATATTTATTTGAGCACCATAAAGCTTCTATGAGGATTATATTCACCGCTGTAGCTTGGAGAATCAAAAGACAGCAGTAAAGGAGGAGAAACGCTGGTGATCCTTTGGCGGGTGATATCCATAGGCATGTTTGACTGATATGTTGTAACAGCAAAAAAGTCAATAATAATTGTGCATAAGTGCAGGGAGAGCATATGAGTTTCTTTGCATGCAGCACACAGATTAATTTATATTAAATACCAATGCACTGGTGAACTTTCTTTGCTGAATGGTGCACTTCACACAGGAAGAGTCGGATTGTTTTTTACTTTGAGTGCAATTTTTTGGGGGGACTTTTTTCTTTGGGATCAATTTCCTAATATGTATTGTGTTATTTAAATTTTGGTGTTGTGTGCAATTTTCGTTTTATAGGTGGTGAGAGCACTGTGTATGTTAATTATTATGCATCTAGATATGTTTTTATTGAAGGCTGGTAGGGGAAACTGTACTTGAGTTACTAGGTTTTTTTTTGTTTACAAACTATTTATTAGATGAGTTACAAATATAGAATTACATTCCATATGTTTTTTGGCAATGGAATGAACAAATCCAGTTAGATAGGCAAAATTAAACAGTAAGTTAAAAGGACAACTAACGGGAATCACATGTTAAATCAGCTAGACATCCAAAATACAGATAATGCAATAATAAATTTAAGAATACACCTGTGGTTCAATCAAACAGTATATGCTGATGAGTTTTCCATGCATCCCATTTATGAGTAAACAGATGCATCCTATCCTGCAATGTATAATAGATTATTTCCATAAGCATGACCGTATCAATTCTCCTTAATATAGAGGATAGGGGAACTACTGCAGATTTCCAGTGTAGAGCTATCACCCAAATGGGCTGGTTCAATCTTTCTTTGCCATGTGATGCACCCAGTAGGCACAATGGCATAGATAGGTCCAAATCGGTACCAATGATAGCCAAGGCAACAGCAGAAATTTTTCGCCATGCAAAAGACAGATGGGCACACTCCCAAAATTTGTGTGTAATAGAGCCAGTGAGATGGCATGCCATCTGGAAACAGATCTCTGATACTTGAAATATAGCATGGAATCTGGCAGGGGTATAGTATGACCTAGTTAGTAATTTGAAGTCTGTTTCTCTAACAGCAAGGGATCTGGTACTCTTGTGTAAGTTATCCAGCAAGGTGTCCCAGTCTTTGGCAGATTTGTATTGTATTGTATTGTGTTTCAATCTGCTTCCCATTTAGCCATATAGGGAATAGTTGTAAGAGTTACTAGGTTTACCTACCCAGGGGGGTGAGACTCCCAATAGAACAGGCAGTGAAGAGATCTTACAGATTACATACCACTAACATGTATGTATAACCAAAATCTTATTATTGGATGGATTGACTCCCCTTACTATTGTATTTCCACTTTTTAATTTTTGACAAATACACTCTATCCCTAGAGTACAGAAGTAACCATATTCCTTTACATATTAAGAATGTATGCCATTACATATTAAGAATATGTAATGGCATACTGTATATTTCTTTACTTGTGGAACACTATATTTGAAAAACTGGTGCATAAATTACATTGTAGGAAAAAGTTCCATTGCACCAACTTGTTTCCTCTGATGTTATTTGACTTCTTTGTTTAAGGAATTAGGGCTAGATTTAGTGGTTAGGCAAGGTAAGAGTTATTTTTAAGGTTAGACTTAAGCTTAAGGCTTGAATTTTGTTAGTGAGAATATGCCATTAACATACCAACCCACAGTGGCAATACCCACAATGGAAATAAGTTCCACTATGCATACACCTCAACTCTCCCTAGGTTATTAGGACAGCCTAAGAATGAACATATTTTTCCAACCTTGGATTTTCCTGAACAGATAGAGGCTTGGCTTAAATTTAATTTGAGCCTTTTATTAACATTTGGAGATTATGAACCTCTCTATTGAATAAGACAGCCACATAAGACCAATAGATTCTAGCTTGGCATTGAGCATTATGAAATAAACTGACCATTGACTTGTTTTACATTCTGATACTCAGACATACTTGCATTTCCACTTGATGATACTCTAGTAATAGTATTTAATACAACAAATACAACACATGTTATGAACATCTTCAGCATGAGCCTGTAACATATCCAGATCTAGGGCAGGGATCCCCAAACTCTTGAGTTCAGCGACTCCCTTCATGAAGTTTCAGATTGTTAATAAGCCCCAAAAATTTCTTATATGAAAATCAAAGTTTTGATAAAAGGTTTCATGGCCTCATTACTAATTTTTTTTTTCCAGATCAAAGTCAAATTGATGTGCTTTCTCTTGGTATTGGCAGCTGCCATAATTGTTGTTGCAATGCTAAATTTTTAGTAAAGAAACAGCAATCAGTTCTTACCACTCCTAAACCTATGGGTATGCTCATAAAAATCAAACGTTTTTTAATTAGTATTTTTGTACATTTGAAATTACATTTTAGCAAAAAAAAAAT